ACGGGAAATTTTTTGTTCCTGAAATGACCTAAAATATTTCAGGTCCTGAAAAACATTACAGCTTAACTTCTGGAGATGTAACCTCCTCCGGCAGCCACTCAGAGAAGATACGTAGAAATACTACAAATTTCCGTAAAAATCTGGAACTAAAAGACCACAACAGAGTTGATACTCTTGGGTAAGTTAAACTTGCTAAATATGTTTTTATGGTATTGTAAAATGCTCAATATACCAAACGTCTTGCCAGAATTGAAATAAAAGCAGTCTTGACTTTCTGATTGTACTTTACATCCTGATTATAAATGTCAGTAGGACCTATTTTGTATCTTGGTGTTCTAAGCCAGTACTCTCAGGCAGCTCAGATTAAGTCATGTATTTTGTTGTTGAGATTCCAAACTAAAAATTTTGAGATTATGTTTTTTTTAATGCATTAGCTTTTATTAATATACAACACTGAGATTTATAAAGTACGTGTATTACAAATCATCTAAGTTCTTTGGTTGTTAGGTACATTTAAAAAGAGCAGGTGTGAGCAGGTGAGTCAATAACATTTAACTGTCTGCAGGCTATGACATAACTGTTATATTGCCTTGGAGACTAAGGAGATGACTGGAAACAAGGAAGTTCCCCAAAGTTCTGTCTGTCATTGGTTTCTTTCTATGATCTCGTAACTAGTAGGAGTCAGTGAGACACCGTGAGGTTAACTGCTGTATGAATATGGCTGATTCAGAGATTTGTGGTTGGTTGGTTGGTTTTTTGGTGGTTTTTTAAATTTTATTTTAATGTTCATAATATTGAAATTGCAGGTCAGTAGAAAACCAAACAATATTTGCAAATAGTGCAGATAGTATCAATGAGACCCACTTTCCTAGCTTACCTGTTCTAGGATGTAGGATTTCTCTACTAAGGCACGATAGTGACAATGTTGTTTACTTCCTACTTGTTTAAGGGGTGAAAATGTATGTGACAAACGGAGGGGAAAAAATGAATATATTAGCTTGTAATGTATGTATACTTGCAAAATATAGAGCAAAACCTATTTTCATGCTATATAGTTCTATGTATGCCACTAAGGCTTAAAGCAGAGTAGCTTGAGGAATTTGAGCTGCTGAAAAATCACTATGATATGTTTCTTTTAAGGGGCTGGGATGAAAGCCAAATGGATGATGAGGAAGAAATTCTGGAGGATAAGCAACAGGTTCTTGCATTACAGTGAACATGCAAAGAAATTAATGGTATTTCTCTCTTTGCATATCATACAAATCCAAGAAGCAGACGAAGAGGTGTCTTGAGTGCTGCTCAAGATATTATTTATTAAGGATTATTTTGTAAAACTGTCAATAAAAATTCATAAAAATCCCTTGGTTTTGGCTTTTTTATTAGTATGAAGAAGTAACAGAATAAAAGAAAACTGATCTTGTGCTATTATTTTTTTAGGATTTTTTTTTATTCTTTAATTTTTATTCAACATGAGATTTCTTGCCTGCAGGATGAATTTTATGTCTCCAAATGCAGTTTTACATTGTCATGCTGAGAGGTAATGTGCCAGAGGGTATTAATGCAGTGTTCTTAAATTGGGGGTCCTAATATGGCCAAGTTTATATGGTGAGATGCATAGTAGAAAGTGTAATAGGCAAAGTATACTTTACTCCTTATCATATATTTTACTACTAATGGAATTTCACCTTGCAGAATAGAAATTAACAGTTTTACATAGTATATTTAACTTCTGCTACACTCTTTGTTCTTAATTTCAGCAGGTAGCATACAGTAGCAGTAAACTTGGCTCCCTCTGCTCAGCACTGATGGGAAGTCGGTTCTCTTTCTGCACTGTACTACTTTCACTGTTCTAATATGTCAGTTTGGAGGGATTGGTATACCAAATTCTGCTGGACTGCAGGTTGCTATCTCACAGACCTTTTCAGATTAAGAGAACAAAGGGGAAATGCAGCTAAAAGATGATCTTGGGCGGTTTTGATTTCACCAAACCCTTTTAATTTCTCTATCTGCTCATGACAAGGCCTCAACTGTACTTTTGAATTTGCTGCGTCTGTGTTGTATACACAGGTTTCTTCCTACTCCTGCCCTTCCCAGTTAATGTAAGGTTAAATGCAATTAATATAACCAGTAAAAGGTCACTTGGCGCATAAAGTACATGCTGGCATGGGACTTTAAACAGGCTTTGGTGTCTTTCTGCTGTCTTTTTGAGGAGATGCTTAATTGTACCCAGTAGTTGAGTAGTTTTCTGTGGAGGTGGCAGGAAGTTATGGTTTTGAAATGATCTAATTGGTGTCTTGGTAACATCTTTAGGATTCTCAGACACAGCAGCATGCTTCAACTTTCTTTAAAGTGTTTTTTTTTCCTTCATCATGTTCTATTTGAATGAACTTTTTTTCCCTTTCTTTTATTGGTTTCCTCCACTGTGGTTCTTAAGATGCTTTTCAAAGCATCTTAAAAGCTTTCCCCCCGCCCTTGAGTTTTGATCAAAAAAATGTATCAGATTGCAGTCACAAACATTTCTATCTTGTGTTGGGAAACTTGGCAAGTGAGTGTTGTGGTTTAAGCCCAGCTGGTAACTGAGCACCAGGCAGCTGCTCGCTCACCCCTTTTCCTGGCTGTGCTCTCCCAGCTTTGCATGCACCAGGCAGGGCATGGGGACCTGAAAAGTCCTTGACTTGGTGTAGACACTACAACTACCCAGCAGCAGCTAAAAACATCGGTGTGTTATTAATGTTATTCTCATTCTAAATCCAAAACACAGCACTGTACTGGCACTATACCGGCTACTAGAAAAAAATTTAACTCTATCCCAGTTGAAACCAGGACAGTGGGATTAATTAAAAGCTTTTGTCTGATAACTATTCTTATCCATTTATGGGTAAATCAGCTGCCAGGACTCTAATGGTAATTGTTGTTCACAGAAACTTTCGTATAGAAAGAGAAGCTTTACATCCTATTCTACAGTTCTCTCATAACTGCTTTAAATGAGGAATTTATAGAAGATTAAATTCAGAGAGCAACACTGTACGTACTTTTGACCATGTTGTTATCTATTTTATATTTAATGAAGGGATTATGCATCTACTTCAGTTGTTTTTCACCACAGCAACAGTGATCAGTAAGTTACAAAACTTCATGTCAGATGCTTTTTATTAAAGGTCATGATTTCCATCACTAAATTGGTTAATTAGGAAATGTAGATAGTTTTAAGAAATTAATTTTGTTTATAGCCTCAAATATTTAAAGATGTATTTGAGTGCTTGTCTTGAAAACCTTGTGATTCTGTGTGCAGAGGTGGCAAGTGACCTTCACATTGGTGGAAACATTCCAATGTATTATTTAAGTTCTGACGATTAAACACATGCTTGTTCGTGTTCTCGCCGTGCCATAGAACTCTAATGCAGTATGCATTTGTGGTCTGACCTGCCACCCCCCCACCCCCCCCATCAATTAGGCACTACTGTTAGACAACATAGACAGTAATCTTTTCAACATTTTCTTTTATAGGAGAAAATACTTCAGTAACCCTAATTCATAAAAACTAGAGCCGTCGGGCTGAACACACCATTGATTTGATTTCCTGCCTCATTTCTTGTCTTTAAGGTGAGGGCATATTTTCCACTTCAGTTTTCTTTATAGAGTTTACCATATATTGATGTTTTATTACAACAGTTCTCTGCCAGAAATTCTAAGAATAAAATCAGAAAGCGGGTGTTCTACTTTGTAGATTAAGGCCAGTGCTTTTCTCTCATGAATGTAACCTTTTATTTCTTTTTGAGTTACTTTTCCAAATATTCTTATTACACTCATTTCCTTTGCACAGATAGGCTGACTGCTTCCATGCTGTTCCCAGCCCTTTTTAACTAGAAAAGCGATGAAGCAGGTGGTACTGTAGTGTGTGCCTGGAGCCCTCAACAGTCAGGTTAATCCTTTGTGTTTGTGCTTGTTGGAGATAACTAGGAAGTCACTGTCTGTTTTCAACATCTGATTTTGACAGTTTTCCCTTCCCATCCCTTTGTCTTGAAAGAAAAAAATGCTTCTGTTAATACCTCTAACAAACTTTGGACTAAAAAGAAGCTTAATTCAATGTCTTAGTAATCTCTTTGGTTAGTCAGTGATCATTTAAATGCATTTCAGTTTTGTATTCCTACGTTTAATGCACTTAAAAATGTCCTTTTTTGTGTGGAATTTCTTTATTCTTTCTTCAAGACATAGAGGTGGAACTGATACCCTAACTAGAAGACCGAAAAGAGCATCTGAACTGATGCAGTTCTGTGACATTTCTTGCTTGTTTTTCTGTTGCAAATAGAAGAAATCAAGTGTTGAAAGCTTGCTGCTTATGATTATGGATGTGGTTTAATGTACTTTTCTGCATTTCTACCTTGATACAAAGACAATGTGCAAATGGTTATGTTTTTGTTTTTTTTTTTTTTTTCTTTTTTATTTCCCCCTGTGCCTGTTTTAGGGATGGCTAGAGCTAAACCAGTGTCAAGGGATTCGCAAAGAAAAATGATCTTTTCTGTCCAATTAGAGAAAGAGAAAAGGGGGTGGGGGGAGAGAAGTGAAAGACCAGTTTGGTTTTTTTGAGCTTCTAGGGTGATTCTACATGTGTCTTTGTGTACAGCAACTTTTGGTAACTTGATTTTACAAAACATAAATCCTATGAATTAACTTGGCAGTCAATTTGGATTTTGAAAAAGGATATCACATTCTTTATATATAAAAAGTATTCTAGGATTCATGTGGACAAACCAACTTTTCAGTAGTCTGGCAGACTCTGCAGATTTTTTAGCCTTTTTGAATCTAGCCATTTTCTGCTTTCCAGCAACTCTCAGTATAATACACATCAATCTAAGAGACTGCTGAGTGGGTAGGTGGGCTTACTGGTTTTGGTGGTTATACAGAACAAGAACGGGTGAACCTGGCAAGGATTGAATTGGACTACTGGAGAGATTTGAGGGCTCCTTTGTTAGCTTGTGAGCAAATGTTTCCTTTCTGTCCTTTCAACTAAGAAAAAAACATATATGAGACATGATTTTTGTGTGTATTGTTTGAATATTAGTATTCTGACACTCTCAGCTCTTTTCTCCATGATTTTTTTTTTTTTCTGAAGAGCTTGGTGTGACACCCTGTAAAAAATTTGACTCCACCACTCTTTTGCTTAGAGATTTATTACAAACATAGTTAGTGCCAGAGAATGGAATAATTTGAGAAGGATGAAACCTAGGAAGCGTCTTCTGTCCGTTGTCAAGCTTTATGTCTTGTAGCAAGAGCAGTTTACATATCAGTGCTGCTGATCTAAGCTGGATTAGCATATGGCAATAATCAGATGTTTCTAGATGCTCAAAGGAACTCTTGTGCTTCACAGAGATCATCTGCCTGTCTCTGATGGGGAAACTCTACCCACATATTAACATTTTGAACTTTACTATTCCCAGTTCATTATAGAATTCTTTCCTACCAGGCGGTATTTCTTTTTTCTTATACCCCAAACTAATGGTGCATCAAGTGAAGCTACTATCAGAAGACTCCATCAGGACTCCTGCCTCATGTTGTTGTGTTGAAGTTACCTTTCCCAGCAGACCTTCCAGATTTCCTGGCACCAGTGGATGACTTTTACAGGTAAATCTAGCTGGTAGCAGGTTGCCAAATATTTTTCAGTCAGTTTCTGTATTTTGGTGTTTTAAATATCAGTTCATCCTCCAGCTTGCCAGAAGAGAAGTATGTGGCATAGTGATAAAGGAATCATGTGAAATTTGTGCTATTCCTAAGCACTATAATTCCAAGGCTTCTAGTTCCCTTGTGTTCTGCTAGGTATCTCAGTTATTTCAGGGAAGGTCACGGAATCACCGGGAAAGTATCATCAGACTGGCACTATCCCTCCGGAGTGCTGTACTGTTATGCCAGATTCTGACGTGCATCTGTGTAGTTCCTTAATATGAAACAGCCATGTTTCCATGACCATTAATGAGCAAAATTAGAGTTTGAAATGAATGTACCGCATTCTCAAAATACAGACAAACTTAACAGCTGTTGACTTCAGGCGAATGCTTATTTCTAAAGCACTTACTTGGGAGTCCCTGAAATATTTCAATTGGCTGCCATTTGGCTGGCTGCCTGATAATGTCTAACTTTTTTTTTTTTTTTAATATAGAAGGGGCTCTCATCCAAGGAGTCAAGTTACAGAAACCACGTGAAGTGCTTTCTACTTCTGCT